ACCCATTCAAATTCAGCCTTCTCGTACCGGCGGTAACACGCACGGTTCCGTGAAAGTTTTTCACGGATAAGTTAACATCTCGGGAACCACGGAGTCTAGGAGGCTGAAATTTTAGGGTAATGACCCCCCTGGCCACGGCTCATCCTTGCCCATTCAAATTCAGCGTTCCCGCGCTTTCAGGTGCCACCTACGGGCCAGTGAAAATTTTGGCGAGTAAACTATTAACTCGGGAATCAAGGAAAGATATCCATCCTTCAAGGTTTCGAATGCAGTTTTCATGCGCTGGTGCGTGAAATTTTTAACTGTTTTCCATTGTTTTATCTATTTTTACATATACTAAAGTACAAAGCAGTCAAAATCATTAATAGGCAATCGTTCGATGGGCTGAATTGCACAAAACGCATGATCGCGCCGGCTAGTCTGGTGCGCGTTACCATTTATTTCATTCGCGAGTTATGAATTTTCCCGCCATAGTTTTCACGTGCCCGTACGTGAGCCCTATTTATTGAATATTCAAGTTGTTCCAGACATGGCGTGAAAATCCCGATCGTTTAGTGGGTTTTTTGCCTCGTGCTGCTGTTTTTAATGAATCGACAAAACAGTACGAATATGCCACGGAATGGGCAAACTCAATGAATATTATTCTAACAGGCGCTTCATTTTACCACAAGGTGATTTTTGTTACATTTGATGAAGATGTGCACAGGGAACGGCCGAAAATATTTTTTTTTACTGATGCATTTAACAACTTCTCTGTTTTGCGCTCTTGTGTACCTGGCTGAGGGCATTTACATAATTCCAGAGATGTCCAAATGGATTTTTGTCGATTTTCTCACCTAAATTACGTGAATATCATTCCCTGTCTCCCTCCCGCTCTCTGCCCCTTGTCCCATCATTTCCATCTGTTTTCTCTCATTCATGCTACATGATCCGTTCAGCTGGCACACATTGCCTCGATCGTCCATGCGACACCGAAATTTTAGCACTTCGTTGGAGATGTGCCGGAACTTCCTGATACTGTCGTGCATCCTTCCGTAGCTCATAAAGTTACTTTTTTTTGTATCAGTTGCACTGTATGGATATTATTTACTGCCACCCCCCCCCCCTTCCCGCATTTCCATCTGTTTTCTCTCATTCTTGCGATGGTCCGTGTTTCAAGCCTATAAAAAAGAATTGATTTTAGTAAAATTAAAAAAAAGTTAATGTCACGGAATGTATTTTCATTCTGCAAGCTTGGACGATATACGTGGTAGCCTCCCCTCTTGCAAGATTAAAGGGTGAAAATACATTTTTTTCTAAATTTTCCGCGGATGATCCATAGATTTGCTTTATTTTTATATCATTAATTATCCACGAATCATTGATTTCTTTACTCAACTAAGAATTTTAAATTATTCATAAATTAGCTCTCTTATTGTTTTGACCTGATTGGAAAAATCGCTTAATTTACCCAGTGAGATAGTGTAAAATTTGTTACATTCGCTCACCACTTTGTTTTGCAGTACTACGGTATGTTATATCACGAACTTCTGCCAGCAGCAATGCTTGATTACGTGGAAAAAATCATGAATTGCGAAGATATTGCGATGAATTTTTTGATCAGTAATGCTACCGGCAAAAGTCCGATAAAAGTTACTCCTCGAAAGAAATTTGTTTGTCCCAGTAAGTTTATTTTTTGATCAATTTTCGTGTAGTGGTGGTGGTGGTAACTGCAAATAACGCTGTTAGCGTGCTGCTGAAAGTCAAAAGTTCGATTCCACCACTGTGACCACAGGTGCTTTTATTCTATTCGTTAATTCTTCTCAGTGGCAAATTGCTACTGGTTCTTTTTTATCAGCTTGTTTTGATAAAGCCCTAA